GGGGGGGGGGGGAATAACGGGCGGTATTCACAGTCGGATATTAACTTCAAGACTGTCTCAAGCTCTTCAGATACTACCCACAACTAATGAAATGTCCCATATAACCTAACCTAACCCTTACCTTAGCTTGCCTCTACACAAGACTTGTTTTCTGTCGCTGCTTTGGTGAACTGGTGCAGTAACCTAGAATGAGAAAAATATACTCGTCTTACTCTGATTTATTGCACTAGCTCATCGCGGTGCAGCAATAGAATTCAAGATGGTCTTATGTCAGACTTAGGCCGGTATTCATAGTCGATTCTTATTTCAAAATCATCTCGAGTGTTGTCTTAAGATGCTAATACGGCTCTGTGATTGGTTAAAAACACATTGAGAGTATACTTAAGATCATCTTATCTTAATATATAAGAACGGACCATGAATACCGGCCTTAAAGATCCTGTAATCAGAGACTGACCCTTGAGAGCAGAGATGCAGACTCCGCTACTTTTACAGCACGCTGTCGTCGGAGAGGAGATAACGTACACAAGCGAACAGCCGTGTACGCGTGCGTCCGGCGCTTCGGCCAACTTGAGTCGAGTAGAAGAGCTTAGACGTATCTGCTCTCTCTCTCTCTCTCTCTCTCTCTCTCTCTCTCTCTCTCTCTTTCGCCGAGACCACACAGCTCCTCGTTTGCATGTGAACGCTACACACAATCTTCGTGGCCGGTTTAACTGTGGCTGCGTTGCGATATTCACTACCAGTACTGAAAATGTATAATATACGTGACGTAAACTATAGATTTACAGTACTGGCAGTGAATATCGGAAAGCGGGGAGGACGCACTGTTGCATAAGCATATGCATAACGAATTTGATTGCCACGAAAACACAGTCATAGGGTTTGGTTTGTTTTCCGTTTCTGCACTGGTGAACTAGTGCAATAAATTAGAGTAATGCCCGATTTCTTCACATCCAGTTATGTTGCGGTTAAAGTTAACCAGGAGATAAACTACCAGATCCATGCACGTGATTGGCTAAAACTTGAGATTAACCTCCGGATAATTTTACCGGGAAGTGAAAAAATCGGCTATAAGACAAGCATATTTTTTCCCATTCTAGCTTGCTGCACTGGTTCACCAGTGCAGGAACAGAAAACAAACCTATAGTCGACTATTCTTACGACTTCTATGTAGACGAAGCTTTATGGCCGGTTTCTGCTTACAGGGTCTCTAGTAAGACTAGGAGTGCTGTTTCGTGCATGATACGCATGATACATCATTTATCCTTGTTATTCACCAAATGTTAAAGAAGGATACAAGATGAATCCATGCGTTTCGTGCGCGGAACGGAACGCACCCTAGATTTATCGGTCTGAACGCCTGCCATATGCCCAACATCTGCGGGGAAAAAAATGGTAGAGTCCCATTCGTCTATAATAGTGCATACATTGATATCATTTGCGTCCACCGTTGCGCCATCGAAAATAGGTGCTTACAAATTTATTATTAAAATTATTAAAAAGATAACAGTAACGACGGATATCAGTGCATGCGTACTGCAGACGAGTGGGACTGGCGCTCTCTCTCTCTCTCTCTCTCTCTCTCTCTCTCTCTCTCTGGCTCGCACACGCAAATGTTTGACACGGGCTAGTCAGATATAAAATTATACGCAATGCCGTTCTATGTATATATGTTCTATGGTTGTCGTTCTATCGATTGGTCCCCCGATAAGGAGGTATCTCGAGCCCTCAGAAATTGATAACAATGATTAATAATAAATGCTCCGTTACGCGTTTTCCGGTGCGAATGAATTGCATGCGTGCGATAAAGCGCTCCGCAAACGCGTCCTCCTCGTAAGTTTCTAATGCGGAGATTTGAAAAAAAGAAGCAACGAATCAAACCGAGATCAAGACTGGCCCATGCTGGCAAAAGTGGACGGCGGAGAAAATCTTCGAATTAGAATTTCTAATCATAATTCTAAACCGCAATTAGCTCCCAGAATTTTCAATTACGACTCTACAGGCTGGAAGACGATAAAAAAAAGAATTTAATCTGGACAAAGTCGATCTATATAGGTACCGATGAAACCGAAACAACGTCAAGATCTACGTCGGCAGAAGCGGCGTGGCCGATCAAACGCGCCTGAAAAATTCTCGAAAACAAACGAATCCCGCGTGTCCCGCGACAGCGACGGTAATGCAGGCAGGTATTTTCTCGCAGACTCTGGAATCGAGCTCTGCCTGGGCTCGTTGCTACGCAACGTTATATAAACAGACGCTGTTTCTTTTTTAATGAGGTTCGAGCACTTGCCAACGGCGACGTTTTTGCCGGTCGGTCGGAATTTCCCGACCGGTTTATTAGGAAACGTCGAACAAACGGAGTCGTTCCGAGGGGGAAAAAAAGGGCGAAACGATCCCTCGACATTTTCCCTCGAAATTTACGAGCGATCGCTGAATGTCGCGGTCAAGCTGAAGCGTTTAGAGACCTTGTTTTCTCTCTCTCTCTCTCTCTCTCTCTCTCTCTCTCTCTCTCTCTCTCTCTCTCTCTCTCTCTCTCTCTCTCTCTCTCTCTCACCCGCAGGAATTTTACGAACTCTTCTGGCCAGTCTCTGTTTACAAGGTCTCTAGAAGCATTCTTCTTCCCCTCTCGGTAAAGACTGAAGGACAAGAGAAACGCTTCGTGGGGTGGTAACAGCCCGACCCGGAAAGCAGAGACTTCCATTACGAGCGCAATGTAAATATATAGCGCAGAAAACATGCCCGCGTGGCCGAGCTGAGAAAAGGAAACCATGAGATCCGCTTAGCAGATAAGCAGCGTTCCGATAGTCCCCGTGCCTCGCCTCGACCACTGTCGTAATCGTCTCGGGTATCCACGCTCGTTCCGCGAAGCGGATCGCGCTGATATAGTTTCCCCGCGTGCAATAGCCCACGCTCGGCGGAAAGAAGCAGCTCTGAAGGCGCTCGAACACTCCCTATCGAAATCGGTACTCACGCTGAGTCCACGGCGAACCCGGGGGTGGTCGCGTTACGTCCGTTCCCATCGATACGCATCAACTTTACAATCTCGATCGAACTTCCTCGAAAGGATCTCATCCTCCTCCTCCCTCCCCCCCGCCCCCCGATTCCTGACGCAAGAAAATTAGAGAAGTTAGGGGAAAAAAAGAGACAGAGATCGCTGGGAAATTGAACGAAGATCAACGCGTAGACCCGCGCCGGTAGAGACGGACGTGAAAAAATCGCCGAGCGCCGTCCCCTTCACCGAATACAGTTTCTTCTACGATTACGCCCCCAACCCCTCTCCCTCTTGTGCAAGGCAAGACTTCGTGTAACACGAAACGCAATCCAAACGCTCGCTTTATCTCGACGAGCTAATCGCAACCACGCTCGGATTATTCTGTACCATTCGACGGTCCTACGGTGGAATTACTGGCTCGCTCGCCTTAATCTCGCTTGGCCGAGTTGTACGACGCGTGTTCGCCCCCACACGCCTCGAGGATGCGTCGAAATGTTTCGGCATAGCCCAATGATCCCGCGCCTCGTCGCGAATAGATCTTATTGTATGGCGAATTTGTTCCGTCGCGCGGTAAATCTTCATTCAGACCGACGGCGAGGCGAAGGAGAACGCAGATCTTTTACCTGTAGGTTTACTTGTTCTTATTACTGCCTTTCCTCTTCTTGTCAGGAGATTTTTGTCTGGATCAAACGACCACCTTGACCGGAATAGTATGTTAGTATGTTGCGCCGCTTGATCACACGCGCTCCCCCTATTCACTCCACGATCGTACACGATCCTAGCACTTTTCCACGAGTGACTGGAACAGGCAAGAGACGCGCGAGAAAACCACCATGAGCTAACGCGCCTGCGACGGGATCTCGCTCCAATTGGTTCGAGCCGCGGCCGCGCGATCGGCCGAGCCAATGAGGCGCGACGCTGCGCGTCATGTGACTTTCGAAAGCGCGAGCTTGACCCCAACCCGATTCTGACCCGGTTTGGTGTTTCCACCGCAAAAACGCTCACCCCAACCCGATTCAGGGGAGCGATCGCGTGCACGATCAAATTCGATCGGTCGACTTCTCATACGTCTCTACTCTACAGGTTTCATGGTTCATGCTTATTTATTATAGGATAGTTTCCCTCAGACCATAGATTGATCACGTACGAAGAGTGGTATCGGATGGCATATTCCTTCTCGAATTCGAATTCGATCGGTGCACGTGATCGCTCCCCTGACCCGACTCTAGCCCGACTCTGACCCTCGGTGGAAACGTAGTCAGTGACGACCATAGACATATAAAAGATATGAGCGACGAGCGATTTTCCAATGAGTGTACATGTTTTATGGGAAAGCGCACAGTTTTCCTATAAAGCTGCACGCCCATTTGATATCGCGCGTCGCTCATCGCTCATCGCGTTCAGTCTGAATGAGCCATGACCATGGACCTATAATATATGGACTGCGCATCGCGATGAAAGAATGTATCCCATACAACTGAGAGAGATGCATAATAACTGGACATTTCTCCTCTGCTCATGCGCACAAGAGGGGCTCAAGCCCCTTGTGACTGTTTCTCTCTAACCTTATCTTTAAAAAGTACAATTCACGGTAAAATATAAATATTATGTGTCAGTTCTAAAATATCTTTCAAAATAATTTTTTGAAAAACTTAATAAGAATGTGCCTTTTTACCTATTTTATTTCTTTAATAGCTAATCTTTGTTCCAACAATTACTGATAAAAATTAATGAATACCACGTAAAGTAATGAATAATAAATTCATTTAAAAAGTTAATGAATAAATTATAAAAATAATAATTATTAAGTAATTAGTAATTAATTTGTAATGATAAATGATTAAAATGCAAAAAAATGTTTTACCTATCAGTAGGAAAGTAAAATAAGAAAACAACAGATAATTTACTGGTGCTTGAATAAATTGGCCGTATATATTTATAAATACTAAGTATATTACTCCACCATTGCTTGCTACTTACTGATAAAAAGATACACTGTCGGTCGAACTTTTTTTATATTTACATATAATGCAGACTAACATTTTGTTTCCTTCAATTAATCAGTATAGCAAGGTTATTATGTCACTTTGTTACTGCGCATACATTGTGCGCAGAGGGGAAATGTCCAGTTATTTTGCATCTTTTTCTGTTCTACGGGATACACGTTAGTCTCATGCTAACTTGTGTATAATAAGGGGAATGCGCAGTCCATATATTATAGGTCCATGGCCATGACGCGCTCAGTGGAAACGCACCCATAGGGTCTGTTCTTTATAGCTCAACTGGTGCAGCTGCACTCGTTCACCTATAGAGAGAGACCCGAACCTAAAGAACAGACTCATATACATGCTATGTACACACGCGTTGTCCCGCTAGACGTTACGTTACTTTACTTTACTTGACATTTGTAGTGACACTGCTTGACGCGTTTGTCGCATCTCGCACCTCTTTTTCACCGCGGAATCGCAACAACCCCGCTGTCCCGGGTAGAATATCGCCGCCGCCGCGCGGTATCCTCTCGGTTTCCCCCGAGGGGAAGGCTGAGACCGAGTCCGCACGGACCGAGGAACCGATCGCGCTCAGTCTCGCTGGTAAACATTGCCGCCCGGTGAACGCATCATCGATGTAGGACACGCAGTGGCGATGACGCCAACGTCGCGCGAGTGTGGCGTTAACTTACCGAATGAAGACACCGCAGGGATGGCAGACGCGAGAAACGAGAACATGTGCGAGCCGCGTCCTAACCTTCCAGCCGAGGCGCAGTATTACGCCGTGTATATACCGCTGGAGCACAGGAATCCGGACGAGGAAGGTAATGCGGTCAGCTTGGCCTTCGAAATGTCACGCGGCGCTTCCTCGCACGCAGGTCTGCCTTCGTTCTGTTAAAGGGGAGAGGGTGTAGTTGCGGCAGCCAGAATGAGACTGTCCTCGTCACTGGACGAACACGTTTAATTTCTTTCACTCAAGCCCATTCTACAATGTACTTTTTACGTCCAGAGACATTTTGTCATAGTCAATAAATACGTTTAAAAACTTTATGCCTGTTGATAAACTGTATATTATACATTGCACAATCGTGCATTGTCGACAAATGTTTCAAGCATATCGATTTGCCTGTAAAATAGAATGTTTCTCGTTGCGAAAAACACGTTGTAGATTAGACTAGGCCCATGTTCTGAATCACCTTTTAAAAGATCCTTTTAGCCAACACAAATTCTTCGAAGCCGCTTTTAGTGGTTCAATTCTAATTGTTATTATTGTGACTAATAGTGTGGTTGCCTCTTGCAGAAATCCACGTTTATGTAGAGAAGTCGGAAGCCTTGAATGTGATAAAAAGTATAAAGGAGCATAAAAAGAGCCGTTTGCAAATCTTCAAGAATTACGCCGACGCCGTGGCATACGCGAAGACTGGATTCGAACAGTCTTACGGCTACTCTACGGTCGCCACGGCGCAGGAACAATCGAGTTTTAAGGCGCCCAGCATGAGCGATACTATAGCTTTTAAGAGATTAGTCGAAAAGGGAAATGTGGAGGCTGTGATGGCTAAGGTGTGGGAAAATCCGAGGTATCTAATCAGCAGTGGAGACACACCTGCCATTTTGCAGGTAGACGATTTACAATTATTTCTCTTGGTATCTCTGAACCTCGCTATCCTATTTGTCTAAATATATTAGATGGTGAACTTAGATGACGCTAGTTGTAAGTGTAATTTACTTTGACATCCGAAACTGGCTGCATTTGAAAGGTCAGACAGATTTGTCAATAAAATTCCGTGCGAAAAGATTCATTCAAGCGAACAGTGCCGTTTTTGTCTTTTGATTAAACATGGACGCGATCAGTTGTTTTTTCGACATGTACCACTTCGTTACTTCGATTTGAAGAAAACTGCAGCTACAGCTCCTAAATTACTTGTCGAGGCTTGTGGCAATTGTGCTCCATCGGAAAGAACCTTCCAAGAATGGTTTCAGCGATTTAAAAGTTGTGATTTGAATGTGAATGATAAACAACGCTCAGGTCAGCCGAAGAAGTTTGAAGACACCGAATTGCAAGCATTATTGGACGAAAACTCAGCTCAAACGCTCCAAGAATTGTCTGCAGCGGTAAATGTTACTCCGATGGCTGTTTCCAAACGTCTACATGCAATGGGAAAGATTCAAAAGGAAAGGAAGTTATTCTTTTGCACAACAACGCTCGACCACACGTTGCAAAAACCGTCGAGGAAACACTCGCACCCAGCGTATTCACCAGACTTGGCTCCTTCAGATCATCACTTGTTCCGATCGATGCAGCACGGCTTAGTGGATACACACTTCAAAAGCTACGAGGATGTGCGAAAATGGATCGCTGAATGGATTGCATCAAAAGACCAATTGTTCTATCGTTGCGGAATCCACTCATTGCCAGAAAGATGGGGAAAAATGTATAGCTAGCGAGGGCAAATACTTTGATTGACGTATTTTTGCTTTTGATATCGAGACAAATGAGTTTGTTAAACATAAAATACCGCGAAAACTAAGTTTACCACCTAATATAACTAGGAGTAGGTACCGAGGGGCAAACCGCATTTTAGTGCATTAGTAGGCATTGGTGTACATGATTTTGGTCAGCGGTTTTCTCCTCGGTAGATACTTTCATTTATGTACGCTTACGCACACGGAAATTGTTCGACATGTGATCAATGTTTCTGCTAATTTGCGTGTATTGCTGTTGTGTCGAAATTGTAAAATTATACCATAATAAAATATCTGTTAAATTTGTCATTATAACATTAGAGTCGCTGCATAATTATTTATGCGGTAAATATTTTCTTATAGTAAACTGTGTTGTGTTTTCAGATGGGCTTCCGTTATAATGCTTTACATATAGCGGCAAAAGAAGGGCAGTCGAAGATGTGCGAATTAATATTGAATACCGTTGGGGATCCGAAATTCATGCGGTGGCATTACGGGGACGATAAATGCACGACTTACCTGAATCCCGCCCAGATTATGCAAGATTTGTATTTAAATACGCCGGACAAAGGACTCAACGAAACTCCATTGCACTTTGCTGTTAAACACGGTCATAAGGATGTCGTCCGAGTTCTTATCTCCTATTCTCAGTGCATTAAAACCTTGCCGAACAAGTTCGAGCAGCTGCCTATGGAGGTACGTTTTGAACAAATTCTGTATCGAATGTTTTACAATCTTGAATATATGAGTTTCATTTGAACGCTGTTGTTGCGCGAGCTATGCGCACGCACGCAGAAAAAGAGAAGGAGAATTCATAGAAAAGCGATTGATATTTGTAGCAGAGTGTTTCGACTACGATGGAATTTCGCAATCTTTCTTGATTTTAGTTAATATGCAGCAGAAGAGAGACGGAAAATGAAGCTCTAAAGCGTGAGATACGTATGCTACTGGAAGAACAGTTCTATGTACCTGTGTTAAGAACAGAGGGCAATACGTGCCCACCTATCATCGGAGAACCGTTCTCGCCGACTAGTCCACTTGTAAGTATACGTTTGCGCAAGCAAGATCTTGGAAAAAAAAGCGTAGATATTTTGTAGAAAGTAGATACACTCTTATTGTTTGCAGATTTTGAACAGAGATCCTATCAGTCCTCGTGTAGAATTAAGGGCGTTTGCCGGTCCTATGACTAAGCCGCAGGCGACAGAATTTCAAAAGAAATTGAAAACGCCACCGCGTATTAATTTTAAGAGGGGACAAGGTGATACACCCGGTATTGTGAATAGCCCTAGCATAGCTCTGAGACTGCAAGATACAGAAAAAGGATTGGAACGTGTTGGAAGGTGTGCATAAAGCTCCGAAACATTTTGCTGCATCCTTAGTGATGACACTTGGCTATATGTGTGTGTGTGTGTGTATGTGTGTGTGTTAGATATCTTGAAATATCTAGAAACATAGAAATCGCAGTTGTTATAATTTATCGTAATTAATTGTTACATTATTCAATGATGGATTAACGATAAATAGATGAGTATCTTTGTGCTATTTTTCTCATCACGAGTATCTCATTTATTAAAGTAACAAAAGAATAAAAATCTGGATTCACCTTCGATATTTTTCCAGAGATCTTGCTGAGGAATATCAAGTGCCTTGGAAGGAGTATTGGCCGTTTTTAAAAGATTTCGTTGATTTTCGGAGTGACGACGGATTGACAAAGCTCGAAAAATATCTGCAGCAAAGATCCAAGGATAATGAGAAGCAATTGTTTTACTTGGTATGAAAACATTAAATAATACACCTTTGGTATTTTACATTCAGTCCTAACGTTTCCGTTTTTTCTTTCTTTTTTGTTCTTTAGAGAAATCTGACTAATAGTGCATGTGCGCCAGTAAGTTGCGAAGGTGAACCAATAAGTTGCCAAGAGATGCCAAAAGAAAGCAAGGAGGATGCCATTAACGATATACAATACTTATGTGATAAACTAGGTTTGTGCTCATTAAGTACCGACATTGATGATGAGGAAGATTCAGGTATTGCGTGCTTAACTTCTTTTATGTCTCAAAGAAATAATGTCTTCTCTTTTCTCTGTGAAATTATAATATCCTATAATTGCTGATGACGATATTATATTATAATCAACTTAGCGTTAACCAGCTATCTCTTATCTTGTAGATAGTGAAAGTTTAGAATTTTTTACACCTCCATCTTCCCCGGAACATATTCAAGATAATTTCGATGACGACATGCAGATTGCAGAGGAAGGATCTTTAATCTTTATCGAAGGGTAAATCAATTTCTTCCATCATTTTTCACGTAAAGACGAATATTCTATATGATTGTTAACGCTCTTCTTGTTAGATTTTCACCAACGAAATTGGATTATGCTGTTTACAACGCACTTTCAACTGCGATTGGCCCCGATACGTATCCACATATTTACCGTTGGCGACATGATATGCAACTAGTAATGCAACGTGACCCATGCAGGTACGTATTTCTTTAAACTTTGATTTTTTAAATTTATCATCAGTAACAGTGATGTCACATGCTGATGTACCTCTAATCTTCTTTTTTCTTTACAGATTTAACGCGAAATCCCTCAGGAGACAACTATTTACAAATAATTAAATATATATAACAGTCAAGACAGTTGTACTGACAATCTGCGTTGCCAAACTTTGTATTAACAAACTGGACTATTTCTTATAGATTTACATCCTATTAACAAGAAAGGAAAAAAAAATATTAGTTCCCCGAAGCTAGCTGATATTAGTGTTAACCTCAACAAGTTTTAAACTGTGTTAATGTCGCATAAAACGTGTAAAATTTTTTCGCACAATGTTATTGGATAAGCAAATGTACGTGAGGTAACATAAGAGAGGGATATATTTTGAGATGTTTTTACAAGACTTGTAACTAGAAGCCTTCGTGCTCGACCTTTTAAAATCAGCGTGTAGTTATTTTTATTGTTCACCGATTATAGTTACAATAAATGCTCATTACTGGAAAATATTATACATTCCTCGATTTCCGTGTGTTCCGTCTCGAGCGCATCTCGCGCGAATATATATTACTCGTGTATTTCATGATGTTTTTATTATCAATAACTTTTATTATATATATATAATAATAATTACTTATTTAACAGAACATTTATGAGAATCTTGTTAATATCGTCGCGATCACGACGTGCATTATATCTTTTTTTTTTAAATTTTCGTTTACCATGAACGGTATTCTCAAAATCTAGTTGCGAAGATGACCTCTTCAATCTAATCAAGCGTTAATGGGAGTGGGCGGTGTCTGTTTTAATTGCAAAATAATCGAACGCATCCGGGAAACATCCTTGGAAGTGCGGGACGATTTTGGATTGAATTCGCAGAGCTTGGCGATGCGCTCCCACTCGGTGCCTGGTTCAACCTCGTCCGCCTCTGCGACGAATTGCTTCTCCGCGTTCCTATTCGTAACAAAAATACGTATCAGACCACTGCCCAAGTCACGTATTGCGTGTCAGTTAGTAATGTAAAGAAGTGAGAAATTAAGTGACGTGTATAATTCAATCGATGCATCTCAGAGTCTTGAGAAAATGGTAAAAAAACAAATTTGTATTGTGTGACGCGTAAGCTATTAGACTCGGTGTCAGAGTCAATAATGTCACCAGGTGTTTTAACATTCGCATTGCGCATAAGCGGGTAACGCTTAATTAACGAGTTCTACTCTTTTCCTGTTCATGAAAATGATTTTTAATACGATTGAGAGAATGGCGAATTCTTCGTTGACAACATTCGAAGATTAATAAGTGCGTTTACGTCATTTAAATCAGCCAATTTGTGCGTATTACAGAGACGATTTTGAGGATAATTTCATTATGCAATGTCGTTTAGCGGAGTCTCATTAAGAAGCGATGTCATAAAGACTTAAGTGGCGAAAGAAAGTGAGAATACGGGCGCTCTCGTATTATCGATTCGCATTCTATGCAGGAACAGTCGGCGTTTCCAAAGCAAATCGTGTTACAATGCTGCGTAATGCAATGCATGTTCGCATGCGAATAAAAATGTTTTAACTTACTTGGCTGACTCCCTAAGAAGCGAAATGGAAACAACACAATTATATAAATATTAAAAACTTAGGAAGTCGATACATGGTACAATACTGTACTAATTATATATATATATTTTAATTGTATATTAAATGGTACGACGACTTAGTCCGTTACTGATCACATTTCTCAACAATATCTCGCTTTCCAATACACATTATTCTTCCTCTTTGAATACAAATATTGCATTGCTGTTAGATACAAGCCACGGGTAAAATACAGTCAGATAAACGGTCATAAAAGACTCTAATCATAACTTGGATATTCGTTTTCTTTTTCACAGCGTGGAGATATACGAGAGGAGGAAGACAAAAGACAAGTAAAATTACCTGTTGGTGGTCTTCGTTTTATTGATGGCCTCCGCATGGTGCTTGTACCACTCTTCCAACTCCTTCTTCGCGGCTTCTTTCCATTCCTCCCTCTTTTTCTCCTCCTCCGCGTCTGAAACATTTGCACCCTTATCCGTAAACTGTTCTCGAAAGGCATCGCATCTTGGCGACAAGACCCCGACTACGCTTGCTTTACCTTTCTCTTCTAGACGCGCCTTCTGTTCCTCCCGCCACTTTTTAATCTTCTCAGGCTCCTCCTTGACCGGTGGAGGCGGCATTGGTTCTACGCGCAGAAAACGTATTTAAAAGATCAATTCAGTCAATTCTTTTCAATATGAGGTGGCGATCTCGAGATAATTCCATACCTCCTGATGCTTGCGCCTCTCCTGGCTGCCCGATGGTGTCCACAATTTCGAAGCTGCCCTCAGCGTCACCTCCCGGGCCGACCTTCAGATTCCCAAACTTTCCAGACAGCTCGTCTGCGAAAAACATTGTCCATGTTTACGATACTTGCGCACGTACAGTACAGACGGGCGGCGCGCGAAGAAACTTTACAAACATTCTCTCGCTTATTTGCTTGGAAGTTCTATTTACCTTCGGGCTGGCCCGCCGCTGCCGCGGCCAGTGTCACTGCCATCGGCGTGATGTCGTCCTCTAAACCAGCCAGCTGATCCTGCTCCCTCGCCAGGAACTCCGCGGCCGGGTCCACCTCGGGCTCGTTGACAAAATTATCGCCGAATGCGTCCATTGTCTGAGGAAAGATCGGGGGGGGATACGTTTTGATGGTGCGTACCACTTGTGATAGAAAAAAGGAAAAGAATCGTTCTAAATCATAGACTACGTTTCCACCGAGGGTCAGAGTCGGGTCAGAATCGGATCAGAATCGGGTTGGGGCGAGCGTTTTTGCGGTGGAAACACCAAACCGGGTCAGAATCGGGTTGGGGTTCGGTGTTTCCACCGCAAAAACGCTCGCCCCAACCCGATTCTGACCCGACTCTGACCCTCGGTGGAAACGTAGTCATTTGCTCCGTTGCTGTACGAAAGTGGGATAACCGTAGCGTCGGGGACGACGTGAAGACGACGAGCGCGGGCGAGGTACGTTGTATATCTCGAAGGGGAGATCGGAGGTCAGCGATACTTGACATTTAAGGTTAACCAAGTCGTAAATCTCGAGATTTTCGTTTACTCACGCGGAGAGATTCCCGTTCGAGAGCGAGAGATTCCGAAACGTGCGACTCTACGTCGGCCGAGGGAAACACCTCCCAGCTCGCTCAAGCAGCTTCCTCCTCCACGGGCCGCCAGAAACGTCAATCGTCTGCGTAGATTATCGGCGTCAAGGGGTGTCGACGCTGTCAAACGCTCGCGACACGCGCGCACACACGTATGCATACGTGCGCGCCTGCGCGCGACCCCTTCCTCTCGCTCTCGGTGGGTTTCGGAACGCAGGAGAGAGAGGGTCTGTTCTTTATTGCTGCACTCCTGAACTAGTGCACACTGGTGCAATGAGTTGGAATGAGAGGCA